ACTTCTTTTTTAAGTCCTCGAAACTTGTTATGCTCCCTGGCTGCAGTTCGACGAACCATCTGTATGTAGGTCCTTTTAGTGTTCCTGGGAATGCTCTACATAGGATGTCATTCCTTGATGTGGCCCATTGCATTGCCCCTACGAACATATTTATGTGGTCTACTGGGTCCATCTTTCCATCATAGATCTGTAGCCTGGGTAGCCTGAACTTCAGAGGTGCTGGTTTTACCATCAGTGATTTATAAAGGGCATCCATGCCCACTAGCCAGTTTGGGACCTCGCCTCCTCCTTCTGTGTCTCCCGTACTTTCTTCATATACGGGTTTTTTAGGAGGAGGTTTAGGTTGCTCCTCTGGTTTGCGAGGTGATGGTGCGCTGGAGTGTGCTGCCCTATGACTTGACACCTCTTGTTGTGCCTTGGCCTGTTTTGAGGTCTGAGCTTTTGACTGGAATATTGATGCTTTGGATCTTTCAATATTCTTTATTTTCTCGCTCATTTTCGCTATGGTCTCCTTCATCTTCTCCATCTCCTCTATAGGCATCTTTACGAACCCGTGAGTGGTTTCTGATGCTGCAGCCCTTGGTTCCTTGCTGCTCGTGGGTTTTTCCTTTTGAGGTTGTTCTTCCGAAGGTTTCTCCTTCTCAGCAAGGAGTCGGATGGCCTCAGCTATTGCCTAAACCATGATGTTCAGATTCTCCCCTCCTGTTGAAACTTGGGGAGTTTGCTCGGGCTCACCCTCGGGTTCAGCCTCAGGTCCCGTGGGAGTCCTTTTATTCTTGTTGCCCTTGGGTGGTCGACCCACTGGCCTTTTAGTTTTTGAGTTTCCAGGCTGTTGCTCTGGCGCCTCCTGAGAATTTGCTCTTCCTTGGGAAGTGTTCCGTGTTACCACCATCATTTAATGTTCGACTTTTCTTGGGAAACTCCCTGAGAGTGTTCGACTTTTGCTTGGAGAAAGTCGATCTTCAAAAAAGTCGATCCTTGTGCACTTGGAGGATTTCTTGGAAGTCGTATCTTCGTAGCTCCTTGAGGAATCGACTTTTTCCCTTGGAAGAAAAAAGTCGATCTTCTGAAAAGTCGATCCCTTGCTGGCTGATTTCCTCGCAAGACTCCCTAGCTGGCAACTTGGAAAAAAGTCGATCACTTTTTTCGAAAAAGTCGAGGAGCTTTTGTCGTGAGTATCTTTGAATCACAAACGGCGCCAACTGATGGGGGTGAAACCCGACCAGTACTCCAAGACGCGCAAGCAAGCGCCAAGCGGGGAACTCCGCGGGAAACCAAACCGGAACTCAAGTGCGCAAAGCTCTGCTTCGCTAGGAATCCTTTCACTCCAAATGACCTGCCTTTAATGAGTGGGGGATGCCTCCTATTTATAGGGATTCTTATGGGAGTAATCTGGTCATTTGGGCAGTAACCGCCTAACTGATCAGATTGGGACCCGAGATCGACTTTCTGGGGAACGACTTTCCTGGTGATCGACTTTATTCAGAAGTCGATCCCAGGGAAGTCGATCCTCAGGAAAGTCGATCTTCCTAGGATTCGACTTGGGACCTCCCCAACTCTAGAATATGTACCTTAACTCATCTTAGGCTATTCGGACTTCTAGTTGCTGGTAGGTTGTGACCGGGTTCGGGATACTGTATCACCAAAAAGTTATTTAAAGTAACCTACCTTTCAATTTTTTCTTCTTTTTTTCATGTTCTTATCGTTCTTCTTCTCCTTTTTCTTATATTTGTTTTTCTGTTGCGAATCTGTTTCAATTGAAATGTTTGGAGATCCTGTCATTCTAAAATAGAAAAATATTATAAGTATATAAAATATGAAAATCAAATAGATTACAAATTTTTACTTACTGATTTTATGGAGTGCTTTCGACGTTTGAGTTAAAAGTCTGGATCTTTTCGCGTGAAAATAATAGAATATTTTGAGATGGCGACTAAATAAAAAATATTTAATAAATGATATGAAATTAGAATTGAAAAAGATAATTCGATTCAAATACCGTAGAAATCGTAGGACGATTTTCCATTAAATGTATGATCATTTCACGCATCTCTTTCTGTTCTTTTTGCATTTGTGATTGCATCTCCAAAAAAATTTCTTCGTGATCTTGATTTACCTGATTTAGTCTTGCTATCTCAATCTTCAATGATTCCAATTGATCCACATTATAATTGTTACTTGTGGATGCGTAGGCAGAGGAGATTCTCTTCGAAAGTGTCGGACACAGTTGAATTTTTCCAAATCCTTGAACACGGCCTTTTTTATGATTAAATGTTTTCATCCACTCTTGGTCATCTTCGCCAACGTACATCGGTTGTGGCTCTGTTGTGGATCCCACTGTACTTTGAGACATAGGAATTTCAAGACCGTGTTCTCGCATGCTAGCAAGTCTTTTACTTTTATAAATTTCCTAAAACAAAAAATATAAAACAAAACAGTTAATAGTTTTTTTAATTAAATTTAACAATGAAATTACTATATACCATTAGATTTTAGCAATTGGATGAGTTTTGTTGGTTTTCGGATTTGTGTGTACTTTCAAGTATACATCTGCCCGACAAGTTTCCCTACCAGTTTCTTTATCCTGCATTAAAAATAAGTATTCGTCAAATAAAAATTTAAATGAAAATTTAATGGCATACGTACCATTGCTTCTTTGTGTGTGATGAAGCACGGAATCTGCTACCAGTGGGCTCGCGGGGTGGCGAGATGAGCCAGAGGCTGTGGAGTCCACGACGCGCGCTCTACGTCAAACACCTGCAGAAGAGGAGGGGAATCGGCGACTCACGTGGGAGTGGGCGATTCGGGCTCCTTGGATGCTCTAGTGTGGAGTGTGAGTCAAGAGAGGATGAGTTGAGGGTAGAGGTCCCCCAAGGACCCCTTTTATAGGGTCTGGGGGGACGTTTCCCCATTCATTCGAGTGGGGCCCACGCCATTAAGGTACCCCAAATAAGGAATGCCTTAATGGCGAGGGTCCGCTCAAGTAACGGCTGGGAGTCGGCGATTCAGGTATGGGAATCGTCGATCTAGAGGTTCAATCGCCGACTCCCCATGAGCCCAGTGGAAGCCTACCAGAGCTGTCCACAAGGCCTAGAGTTGGCGATTCCCCCCTGGAGTCGGCGACTTGGTAGTCCCAATCGGCGACTCCCAAGTGTTAACTTGAGCTCTTGACGTAGACACGTGCTCCGCACCGTGGAAGCCTTTCCGGGGGTCCGGCATATAGCGACGGAACCCTATTCCTTGTTTGAAGGGCGTTGCTGGGAGTGACTGACGTAATCAGGCATGTCTCACCAGTGTGAAGCTATTGATTTAGCACCTCCACGGTATACCATGAAGTCTGCTTTGCTATTTCTGTTAATTTTTCCAATAGATGATTTTTTCTTCCATGTTACATTTGTAAGCCAAAAATCAACCATCTTCTTCCATATAATCGGTGAGATTCAAGGAGGGTTGAATTGAATAATTGATATGTCCATCTTGTCAATGTCAATTCCTGCCTTATTACAAGCATTTTTCCTCGCTATATGAAGATTGTTTTTATACGTCTGGTTGACGTATTTCTCGAATTGGAATCTAGCGACATCATTATCGTGAAATCTGAAAAATTTCTGTAAATTCAAAACATATAACAGACATTAACAATATCATTTTTATAATATATAAAAAAATTATTAAAAATAAATATTAATATGTACCAATAATTTATTGCATATATCATCTTTTACATCTTTTGGGAACATCGTCTATGTAGTCCACGCACCATTGATTTTTCCTTTAACCAAACACATAATTTGATTTTTTACTGTTTGTTGGAACGATCTACATAAAGTTATAATAGTTAAAAAAAATTATAAAAAAAGAAGATAAGTTCTTAAATATCTGCATTGAAGAAAGTGGGAACAGGCACGTCAGGTTGTGGAAGAGATCTAGTTCCCCCGTCCTTCTACGATTTAATATTATTAGTTGAATTTGAAAAATGAAAAATATATTTTTGAAAATAATACCTAAGTGTCCATCTTGAGAATCACAACTTCTAGTTGCAGAAGATCCATTCGTTTCTTGAGTTCGACGCTGAATTGCTTGCGAAGCGATTATCAATTTTCTTGACATCTATTTAATTACAATTAGAATACAATATATGATACAAATAAAATTATATACTACTCTTCCCCTTTCCCTTCATCATCTTCCTCTTCCCCTTCCCCTTCTTCTTCATCCATTTCAATTTCTTCCTCATATCTCACTTGTTCATGTACAAATACAAACTCATTATCATTATCATCTCTAACATCAACAAATTCATCTACATCATTTACATATATTTGAGGAGGTAATGTTAGAATAATTTCTTCATTTTCTAAAATGTCAATAGTCATTGTTGCTTGCGTACGAATCACAGTCTGCCATTCTTTATTTTTCGTAGACATTTTAGGTAAATAACACACTTGATGTGCCTGATAAGCAAAAATAAATGGTTCGTTACAATTCAATCGTCGTCTTGTGTTAACTTCGACGGTATGAAATCGATCAACTTTTATTCCTCGTTCAGTATCATACCAATCAACTTTGAACATAACTGTTTGAGTTCGATTTCCATAAAAATCAATTTCCAAAATCTCTTTCAAAATGCCATACTAATTCATATCGTAGGCATTGAAAGTGCTTCCTGTCAACATAACTCCTGAATTTTTTGTTTTTTTAGAGTTATCGAGTGCGTCAATACTAAACAGATAATTATTAACAATGTAATTTTGATAAACATTTACTCTTCTACTAAATCCGCTAGATAAAATACGGGATAGAGGAAAAGATCTGGTTGTGTTGGAGAGGACGAGTGAGCGAGATGTTGCTATGAAGACTGATCAGAGCGCCATGGAAGGGAAAATAAAGTGGATAATAAACCCTAGAACGGAAAATGAAGTGGAGAGGAGAGGACGAGTCTAATTGATTTAGTCTAACTTAGGGTATTTTTAGTCTAATAAATTATATTAATTGGAAATGACGGTTTGGCTGAGTGGTCTAAGGTGCTAAATTTAGTTCTTGTTTGTAAGAGCGTGAATGGTCAAAGGTGATGGTATAGTCGAGTACTCGAATGGTCTAAGGTGCCAGATTTAAGCTATCGTCTCGAAAGGGTGAGGGTTCAAATCCCACAATTGTCTTTTACTTATTCTACACATCTTATTATACTTTTAGTTGTTTAATTAATTGTCTTTTTTTTCTTTTTTATTGTAGTTTTAATCTAAATCACCTTAAAAAAATAGTTAATTTGAATCAAATTATTTTATTCGGATGTAAATGACTTATTTAATTTGAGTTTGCTTTTTATTTTAATATTTGAAAATATTTATTCAAACCTAATATTAAATATAAATGTGTACAAATATTTGATATAACCTTATCAAGTTTTTTAACATTTTACATTAAAATCCAAAAGTGAAAAAAATTTCACTAAACTTTCGGAAAATATAACGGAAATTCTCTCATTTTTAACAAAATGATGGAAAATCCGTTATTTCTGCTTAATATTTTCCGTCATTTAAAAAAAAAAGTTAACGGAATGAAGTTGGAAAAACCAAATGTAACGGATTTTAGTATTTGTAACGAAAATACGGTAACAACCAAAGTTAACGGAATTTCCATTAAAAATAACATAGTTAATGGAATTTCCTTTAACTTTGCTCGTCCAAACTGTCTACTTTTTTTGCAGTGATTTTATTTTTATAGTTGGTTGTCGAATTGCATTTTTTAAAATTACGAAATATTTAAGCGACCGACCAGTTGGTCGGTTTTTTATTTCATTTTAAATGCAGGCGACAAACTTAGTTGGTCGCTTTGTTTTTTAATTTTTTTTAATCTCTTTTAATTTAATTTATTTTTTAATTTTTAACAAGGCGACCAATCTGGTTGGTCGCATTGTGTTTGATTTTATTTTTATATATATTTTAATTTAGGCGACCAAACTTGGTCGGTCGCGATTAATTTTTTTTTTAACTTACGAAATATTTTTATTTTTTTATTCAGACGAACTGCAATTTTTTAAAAAACTTACAGAATATTTTAGCGACAACTTGTTGGTTGCATTGTTTTATTTATATATATTTTTTAATTTGGTCATCAAATTGAAAGATATTTTTTAATTTTTTTGAAATATTTAAGAGACCAACTGGTTGGTCGCCTTTTTATTTAAAATTCATACGATAAACTGGATTGTCGCCTTATTATTTTTTTAAATTTATGTTGGTAGTAAAATTAAATTTTATTTTAAATTAACGAAAAATGTAAGCGACCAACAGGTTGGTCGCGAATTGATTTTTTTTTAACTTATGAAATATTTAAGCGACCACTTGGTTGGTCACCATATTTTTCAATTTTAAAAATTTGATTTTTTTATTCAGGCGAATTGCAATTTTTTAAAAACATATGGAATATTTAAACGACCAACTGGTTGGTCGCCATATTTGTTGGTCGTATTGTTTTATTTATATATATTTTTTCATTTGGTCGCCAAATTAGAAGATAATTTTTTTAATTTTTTGAAATATTTAAGGGACCAACTGGTTGGTCGCTTTTTTAAAAAAATTCATGTGATCAACTGGGTGGTCGCCTTTTTATTTTTTCAAATTTATGTTGGTAGTAGTAAAATTTTTTTTTTTTAATTAACGAAATATGTAAACGACCAACCTGTTGGTCGCGAATTGATTTTTTTTTAACATACAAAATATTTAAGCGACCAACTGGTTTGTCGCCATATTTTTTAATTTTCAAATTTAGAATATTTTAATCAGGCGACCATTTTAGTTGGTCGCATTGTTTTATTTATGTATTTATATATTTTTTAATTTAGGCGACCAACCAGTTTGGTCGCCAAATTGGAAGATTTTTAAAATTTTTTGAATTCATGGTTGCGACCAACATGATGGTTGCATTTTAATTTTTTTTATTAAAAAATAGTCAAGCGACCAAACTGTCGGTCGCTTTCATCTTAAAATTGGCGACCAACTTCGAAGATGGTCGCCTTTTTGAGACCACTTTTGAAGTTGGTCGTGAAGTTGGTCGCTTTCATCTTAAAATTGGCGACCAAGTTCGAAGTTGGTCGCTAAGTTGATCGCCTATAGTATAAAGCGACCAACTTCAAAAGTGGTCTCAAAAAGTCAACTATAAGCGACCAACTTCGAGTTGGTCAGAAAAAAGCCTTCTTTCTTGTAGTGACCTTCCCACAGACCCCATTTGATGATAACTATACGAGCAAGACAATCTGTGTTCGATTCCAACTCTTTCAAGAAAATTAGTTAATTTCTTGGATTCCAATGCATTGTCGGTTTGCACTTTCTTTATTGAACGTTCGCTCTGAAATTTTGTCCAATTTTTGAATTTTTTAAAAACTTTCACCTACATCCGACTTTCTGACAAATAGAAATACCCAATTGAAATTGGTTGCTCCGTCGACGAAGTTAATGTAGTATCGATAGCCTTCAGACGATACTACAGGTGTTGGCCCCTAGATATATACATATATGTTCTCAAGAGGATGATTGTATATTGAATTTGTCGCTTTATGATTTATTAAATGGCTTTTAGCTATGATACATGATTCACAATCAGAGAATTTTTGAGTAGACATGGCAATGCGATTTTTATTAACTAAATCTTTAATTGCTCTGAAATGTAAATGTCCAAGCCGTGAGTACCATTGATCTAGTGGTAGTTGATATAATCCATTTTTCTCCCGACCTTCAGCCAACACATTTTTAGTATCTAGATCCCGAACCTTGATACTTAGTTTGTCAAATTCAATACAAACTCTGTTATCAACACATAATTGTTGCACAGATAATAAATTTTTCGAACTACTTGGTACTAGAAGCATATCATTCAGACATAAACTGTTACTATTAATTTTAGCTTTGGATTTCCTCAATTGAGAAATAGGCATAGTATCACCGTTAGCCACTATAACCGAAGATGTACCTTGATAAGAATGTGAAACCGGGATTAGCCTACCTATCCCTGTTATGTGTATGGTCGTCCACATTGACATCGTACTAGTACTATGATTCACAGCTAAGTTCGCCTTAGGTTGAGATGGCGCAGATGAAGAAATCCCAACTGGAATTAATGTACGGCCATGTTTTGGGGGAAATAGTGTAAAATTAACTCTATTATAACAGTTTAGGGCACCATGTCCCTTCATGGAATAAATCTGGCACGGGTGTGTTCTAGGTGACGAGTCAGCCGATTTAAACTTCGCCGCAACGTTCGCTTCGATTGTTCTTGGAGTCGGTGACAATCGCATATCGTGGTCGATTAGTAATTGTCGGAATGTAGCAAATGTCATGGCATGATCAAATTGCGTCTTGATTGAGGTGACGCGAGGACATTAATTTGCGAGTCCTTCATGCTGTCGTCGCAATCTGCCAATTATCCTTTCATTATATAGATTTTCCTTAGGTATTCTTTTACAGATAGTGAGTCCTTCTTGATACTTTGCAATTGAAAACGTAGGTGAGGATTCACGTCTTGGAATCCGATAAATGCATTTGGCGCAAGCATTCCCAGACCATAGCCGATGTGGTGAGCGTAGCCACTTGGGGGAGAATCGTCGGCGAGATCGTCGACAGTAGCCAGCTAAGGATGAGCTGGTCCTGCTGCTCAGCAAGAGAGTCATCGGTCACATTCACTCTCCCTTCCACATATTGCAGCAGCTTATATCCTCGGAGTAATGCCGAGAATTAAACCTTCCATGAGAAATAGTTCTCCCCATCGAGAGTACGTAATACACTTCATGTGTTTCATCATGATGACTTTCGTCGATGAAGCAGGAAGCGAGTTCTTAGCCGCCTCTTGAGACCCTGAAGTGGAAGAAGGATCGGCCGAGCTGGAGTTGTTGGTTGGTGATGATACCATATCAAAACAGGGAAGGTGAGAGAGATGATCGGAGCTCAGATGAGGGGAATGGTAATAATCGAATGATCATTATTCATGGTGTGCTGGTGTTTATATACAAGTTTGTGAATCTGTTTTACATTATAACAGATTCAATTAGTAACAACTTTCTAGTAATTAGTTAGTTACATTATGGAACAATAGGATCCTTGCTAGATGATGGAAGAATGGGGTCGTTGCTTGTAGGATTAACATGAAAATAAATTAAGATATTCAATTTTTTATAATAAGTATTATATCGTCCTATAGTTTAATTAAAAATTAAAAAACATTGATATGCATAAACATCTATTAAACTCACATTAATAATACATTCAAAAAATCATTTGAAAATGTTTTTCTTGTTGTAGTTTAAGCGCTTCCATTTTTTTCAACGACTTTGGAAACTGTCAATTCAAAATCTTCAGTGTTATTCTTCTCAATTTCCTCATTGTTTACTTTCTTTATTTTTTTATTTGATAACATTGATTCATTACCAACTCTATATCTCAGAATGCGGTCATTTTTCTTTCTTTTTGATGCTTTGAGCCAAGGTCCAATATGATCGTCCTTAAAGAAAAACATATTATAAAATGAAATTGAACCTTGAGACAATAAATTTTCATCTTCATTATCTTCATTCGAATCAGAATCACTATCTTTTTTTCTTTGAAGCTCTTCATTCAAGTTTTCATATTCGGCCTTTACCAAAATCAAATATGAAACAATTAAAAAATATAAATATATTATGAAATATTAACAATTGATTACTCACCATCATAGTTTTTCCTCTATCATTTAATAACATATGAGTTGACAAGAATGTCTCTTGAAATGCAGATTTTTGATCTAATTTTATACTTTATATGATAAAAACTAGTTTAAAAAATCATAAAATATTTAAATTGAAATGAATTAAATATTTAAACTCAGTAATGCATGAGAGTTGGCTTCTTTTGAAGCCGATCCACCCTTGCACACCAAGTAATCTTCGTTCTTTTTTCGATTTTCTGAATTCTTTTTTGATTTTTCTCATTTTCCATCATTGATTCCCATTTTTCTTTGTAATGTATGTGGGAGGAAAGTTTTTGCAAGTCTTATCAAGTTCAGAAATACCAACACTGCTCTTTGTATCATTCCTCTCTTTGCTAAGTCATTTTGGATAATTAATAGTTAGATAATTATTGAATGCAGTCCGAGCACGGTATTGGTCATCAAATTTATAGAATTTCTACAC